AACAAATTAAATCCCATTAAGTGGTTACAATGTAAGAGAATGGTATAATCCTTAATTAGTTTTACTAGACTAAAAGACATGACTTTCTGTTACTTTTCTAAATTCACTGATCTTAGAAAGGGAAATTCTGAAAATTACCAGGCATGTCCTTAAAGTCAGTAATGACTCTTAAAAGCACAGAGTGTTTTCACAATGAGCTGCAGAGAACCCCAGGAATGGGAAGAACCTTTTTTGCCATTCATAATTACATTTTTTTCTCCACCTTAAACCACAGACCTTAATCCCAGCTCTAACAGAAAGGAAGACAAAACACAAGATGTTAGAAACATCATTAAAGAAATAATCCATTTAAGTGTGACCCTTTTAAAGGAGAAAAAAAAAGTTCTGGGCCAGAGAGAAGTTCAATGGCTGGAGCACAAGCTTTGCATGCAGGAGGCCCAGCTTCAATTCCTAGCACCTCATGGCACCCCAAGCTTCACTAGGACCAACTCCTCCGAACCCCATCACGGTGAAGGGAGTAGACCATGAGTACTGCTGGAGACCCCCCAAACCAAAACATTAACAAAGACAAATACATGTCAAAGAAAACAGTTGCACGATTGAAATATCAAGATTAATTATACCTGTGTTGCCTTGATTGTTTATTTTGCGGCCACTCCTACCTGTGTTCAGGGCTTAGCCCTGGCTCTAAGCTCAGGAATCTACTCCTGGCAGTGCTCAAAAGATCCACACGTTGTGCTGGCGATTGAATCACAGGCTCAGTCATGTGCAAGGCAAGCATCCTACCCACTGTAGTTCTCTCTGGTCCCTGATTTGCTCTTTTAAAAGGGAACAAAGACATTTTGGCATTTAACCCCACCTTCATCTGAAATCCTTAGATTTTTACAACTAACTTTCTTAATACATGGAAGGAGAATCTGATCTAAATGCCACAGTAAATTTATATCCTACTGTTCTGAAAAATAAATGTATTATCTACAGATGACGATGAGACACATTTCACTCTACATTCTTAATATTGGTGGAGGTCATCTGATCTCTAGAGGACATCTTCCTAATGTGAGTCTAAGAAATTGAGTTTTGTTTGTTTTGTTGTTACTGTTGTTGTTGTTGTTGTTGTTGTTGTTGTTGTTGTTGTTTTTGGTCTGATTTTGAGCTACACTCTGCATACACTCCAGTTCATTGAGTCATCTCCCTGGCCTTAAGAAAGACACTTAAAGGAGACCAGATGATTTTCATACAGGGTATTCACAACCAGCCTAGTTATCCTGGAAAGGTCACAGAAATGTCAAGAGCTGACAGTTCTTAAGTATGGGAAAGACTCTGGAGATCATTCTCTTTATTACCCACAGTGGAGGTCAAGAGATACGAAGAGATTAGTAGAGAATACATACACATTAGTTTCTCCTTCCTTCCTTCCTTCCTTCCCTCCTTCCCTCCTTCCTTTCTTCCTTCCTTCCTTGTCTTCCTTCTGGCTCTATGCTCAGGGATCACTCCTGGCAAGGTTTAGGGAGTGGAGGGAGGCATAAGCAGTGCCAGGAACAGAATCTGTTCTGTCTGCAAGGCAAGTGCTCTATCTACTGTACTTATCTCTCCGACCCAGTTTCTTCTCTTTCACCTTAACTTCACAAGATATTAACTTGCAGCTATTTTATTTATGGTAAGACTTTACAATAATAAGATAATTTCTAGTCTTCACGGAAATAATTGTTCAGTTACTTTTTATATGTTATTCTTAGACAAACCTTTCAAAGTTAGTAGAACTTATTTGATTAATACAACCAGTAATAAATTTTGTTTAAAATATTTCACTGAGGCTAGAGAGCACAGGCCTTGTATATGTGAGGAATGTGTTTGTTTGACATTATTTTTTGTTTTTGTTTTCTGGTGCCAGGCATTGGTTACTAAGCAGATATGTCAGGATCATAGTTGGTGCATGTGATTAAACTCTTAGACTTACTCTTACAGGTCAAGTGCTTAAATCCATTGAGTTATCTTAAATTGGAAATTGTTATGATGATGTTTAAAGAGTCGTGTCATAGAAATACAGCTTTTCTTTCATCAGATGGAACATGCTCTATTCCTTTTTCATGTATCTATTATCCAGTATACTATGGATTCTAAGTAGGCACTGACTGAGTTAATATGTACTGCAATAGACTTCTTTGTTTGCAAGGGTAGATGACTGTTTAAGGATCAAGCATGTCTACTCTATTTCAAGGAAATCTAGTTTGCTGTTGTTGTTGTTGTTTTGGGGTTTTTGGGGGGGCACACTTGGCAATACTCCTGGCTCTGCCCTCAGGAATTACTCCTGGTGGTGCTCAGGAAACCATAGGCGATGCTGGGCATTGAACTATATCAGCTGTATATAAGGCAAATGCCCTGCCCCACTATACTGTCACTCCAGCCCCAGAAATCTAGTTTTTTAACCCAAAGTGCACATTACCTTCTAATTAAAAAATTCGTAAATGCATTTGCATTTTTTAGACATATGCATATTACCATTATCTTGACTTCATACTTGCCCTGATCCATTCATTTCTTTTCTCCACATCCCTGGTCTATCTCATTTCTGCTCTGGATCAGAAGTAAAGTGGGAAGATTTACAAATATAACCTTCACATCTGTCTTACCATTCTGAGGGGATTCAAAGCAACTGGATCTCACACTTTTAAAGAGTAAAAGTGAGCTTATGAGAAAGTGCATGCATACAGTCTCTTTAAGGAAGCATCTTGGGAAATTTATGTCTATATTTATGTATGTTTATTAAGGATTAACTCTTTCATGATAATTTATGTCAGACAAGAATTGGACTGTGGTTTGTAAAAAAGTGTAATGTAGAACTATAAATTCAAGTTGGGGTGTGGAGTGATAGTACATTGGGTAGGGTACTTAGCTTGCATGCAATGACCTGGGTTCAATCCCTGGCACCCCATATGATCCCTGAGCACCTCCAGGTATGGCCCAAAAAACAAAACCAAAAATCCAATCGGACAGTTTATTTTAACTGAAATGCGTGCATAATTCTTCAAAGAATTAAGTCTAATGCTCATTGTGATTTGAGTTCTACTAGTTACTTTTGGCAAAGCATTCAAAATTACTGTTATAGTATCTATTGTTTAGGTTTTGGAGGGGAGGTGGTTGGTTTTTAGGGACCCACCCTGTTGTGCACAGAGGTTATCCCTGGCTTTGTGCCCAGACATCACCATTGAAGGTGTTCAGGCTGCCACAAGCAGTGCAGGATTTCAACCAGGATCTTGGCTGTGGCAGCCCTCTGGAAAACAGCACTCTTAGCTGTAGGTGGTGGTATCTCTAGGGCCCTGTCTTCACTAAAATTTTAAGAAACACACAATGCATTTGTAATGTCTTTTTCAAGAGATTCTTTAATATGTGATACAAAATGAGAGCGATAGCACAGCGGTAGGGCGTTTGCCTTGCATGCAGCCAACATGGCTGACCCGAGTTCGATTCCTCCGCCCCTCTCGGAGAGCCGGACAAGCTACCGAGAGTATCTCGCCCGCAGGGCAGAGCCTGGCAAGCTACCCGTGATGTATTCGATATGCCAAACACAGTAACAACAAAGTCTCCAATGGAGACGTTACTGGGCCCGCTGGAGCAAATCGAGGACCAACGGGAGGGCCTTTACCTTTACCTTACAAAATCAGAGAACTTGGGAATATAATGAAAAAGGTCTAGGTTTCTACTGTCCAGGGAGTTTCAGCTATCAGTGGACTGGTCACATGGAAAACACTTGTGGCAAGTTAGTCAGTTGCAAGAGGTCAACAGCACTTGCTCCTCCTTTCACTTCCAAAATGACATTTCTACTCAGATATCCCCAAGCCATTTTATGTTGTGTTGAATCATACAATTCCAGTTAATAGGTCTGTTTTTGTTCTTGATTTAAAAGATGGGACTGGAGGGATAGTACAGAGGGTAGGGCATTGCTCTTGCTTGAGACTGATCAGGGTTGGAAGGAGGCATCCCATCAACGAGCACTGCCCGGAGTATAATCTTGAGTGTAGAGGTAAGAGTAACTCTTGGGAACCCCAGGGTGTGACTCCAAAACGAGAGGGGGGGGGGAGAGAGAGAGAGAGAGAGAGAGAGAGAGAGAGAGAGAGAGAGAGAGAATGAATTACTGAATTACTGCTGGGTCTGAAGGCTCAATGGGACTAGAAGCGCTCTAGGTCCAACTCTGGCACCACATGGTCCCCCAAACTCTGCCATGAGTGACAACCCCATCCCCACTCCCCATTCGCCGCCCCTTCTTCCCCCCCTCCCCTCCAGTACAGCAGGGTGTGCCCTAGCCCCTATCCAACCTTCAAATAAAAGGATCACTGCTTATTATTAAAGCCTAGCCAATTCTTTCGCGGACCACTGAAGTTTAGTACTAACAGTCAGCCGGGAAGAGGCTGTGCTAGCATTCTGGAAGCTTATAATTAAGTTCAGTGTTTGTGTGTGGGATGGAGTGGGGGTGGAACACGGCCGTTAATTATAGCGTTTGTGAGCGCCTGCCAGGCTTTTAAGCAGCAAAAACATGAGAAGCCAGAAGCCGATGAAACAAAAGTTGCCGGGGAGTTCCCGGCACGACAAGGGAACTTTGGGTGCCCTCAAAACTCAGGCGATGGTCAGGTTAGAATGTCCCTCCCCTCGCGCCCACCATCCCTTAGGTGCTGCGTTCGAAGGCCACTTGCGTGTGTGTTTGGGGGAGGTATACGGGGGGAGAGGCGGGGGCAGCTACGGACCAAGGCTCCGGGCCCAGGGCCTGGGAGCAGCGGACCCGCTCCCAGGTCCCGCTGAAGCCGCTCCGGATTGCACCGGGGGCAGGGGGGGGGGGGGGGGGGGGGGGGGGGGAGGACACTTCCCCTTCACTTCCGGCGACGACGCGGCTCCGCCTCCTGGGAGCGCTTCCCTGGCGGCCCCGCCTCCTCCCGCTGGGTCTCCGGGGAGAGCTCCACCCCTGGCCCCGCCTCTTTCTTCGGCCACGCCCCCTCCCGTTTACTCTCCCGGGCTCGCTCCGCCCCGACTCCGCCTCCAAGGCGCGCTCCTCCTCCTCCTCCTCCTGCTGCCGCTCCCCGCCTGGGGGTGCAACTCTCACCCCGGCTGTCCCGGCCCGAGCTGCGGAACGGGAGGGAGACTAGGGCCGCCCGCGCCGCCGTCCCCGCCCGAGCGCCCCGCGCCCAACTTCCCGGGCGGCTGCTCCCGAGAGCTCAGCCCTGTTGCAAGCTTCAGGCGCCGTCCCGGAGCGGTCTCGGAGTTAGCGGCCAGCGAGTTTCGTCGCTCGGCTTGCAGGGCCGCGGGCACCGTGCGCTCCCGCAGGGGTGGCCGGGGCTCCGGGCTCAGCGCCCCGCAACGCACTTCGGCGATGGCTCCTGCGCCGCGGCGGTGCCTGCGCCTTCGCCCTCGCGGACTCCGGCTTCTCGTCGTCGGGTCGCTGCTGCTGCTGCTGCTGTTGCTGCCCCTGTGCGGCTCCTTCAACCTCGACACCGATAGTCCCGCCGAGTACTCGGGCCCCGAAGGAAGTTACTTCGGCTTCGCGGTGGATTTCTTCGTGCCCAGCGAATCTCGGTAAGTGGCCGCGCTGGGAAGGGGAGGCGCCCCCATCTCCCCATCCCCCCACGGCGCACACCCATCCCCGAGGGCGGGGATCTTCGCGTTTCTTGGCCCGCGACCCTACGCCCAAAGTTTAGGGGATATGAGATCGGTGGGTGGCGGGGAGATGAACTGTGAAACCCACCTACTAGTTCCCTTCCTCCCTCACGTCTCGGAAGAACTCGGGTAAGGATGTGCGCTGAAAACTCTGGAAAGTGGGAGTTGCAAAGGCTGGTCGGCTTGGACCGCGTTCCGCGGCAGCCCGCGGCAGACTTGGGAGCTTTCGTGGCTCAACTTACCCCCCCCCCCCCCGCCCCCAGCTACTAGTTACTCTCCCCCATCCCCCCCTTTTCTGCTCCGCTGCCCCGAGCGCTCGTTCTCTCGCTGTCCCCAAGCAAACCCTCCCCCACCCACTCTAGCTCGCAGCCTGATCATTCCTCTTCACTGGTTTTGCGGACTTGGGATGGCTAAAATGACCACACTGTCACCTTCGGTGCACGGTATCTTATCTCCGGGACTCGTCAGGCTCCGGCGCATGTGAGGGCGGACCGGATGACGGTGTCATCTGTTCTTTTTATAGCGATTCATTATTTAGGTCATTGTTCGAAGAGAGCGAGGGTGTTCGTGCGGAGTTCTCACTCTCTTTGCAGGTCTTCTCGACACGGTAGCATTGAGGAAACCGGTTTTGTTTCTAGATCGCCTACGGATCGCGTTATACAGACGTCAGGATTTGTAAGAGTGATTGTCATTATTAGATTCAAAAGCAGGCTCCAACTTTGCCGAACACTGACATCATTACAAACACCCCGTGTTAGCATTAGGAATGCCGATTTAATAAGTGTGCCCTGGCTGACTTCTGAAGTTTAGAGCGTTGTTTTCAAGAAGGCAGGTTGGTTCTTCTTAGGGTTCTTCATAAGGGAGTGCAAATGGTAACATTTTGTTTCTAAACATACACAGAGAGAAACTTTGTTTCTAACGGTTCTATTTTATTACATTTTTATTGTTTGCTTTGGGGGGGGACACATTCCTGGCTCTACGTAGACTCAGGAATCACTCCTGATGGTGCTCAGGGAACCATATGGGATACTGAGTATCGAACTTGGTCAGCTGCAAGGCAAGTGCCCTACTCGCTGTACTGTGGCTTCAGCCCCCCACCCCACCCCTGTTTTAAAGTATTTGAGGAGGAGCATAATTTTCACGGTCAGTGCTAGGATAGAAATATTTTACAATTCATACATGTGATCTGAATATTTTTCTACTCTGGGTAAGACATTCAGGATTTATTCTTTTGGTCCCTTTATAAATGCTGCCAAAAATCATTCATTTCGGTGATAACTTTTGCAGCAGTCCATAGATTGAAAGCAGTTAGTGGAACCCAGACATTGTTTCCGGGACCGAACTCAATTTTATTTCCAGATTCAGTGCACAGGTTTTCTTTTCCAAGATGATTGTAATTAAATAACCATTGACTTTGGGAAGCACTAGTTTGACTTAATCAACCTTATTTTAAAGAAGTTTTTATTTACAGATACAAGAAGTATATTCCTGTCTTTAAGTTCCAAAACTTTAGATGCTTCCAAAAGTGCTTTTCCAGGTTTGAATTGTACAGAAATTTTAATAATTTTGAAAATATGTATGTGTCTTGTCAAGAGTTAGTACTTAAGATTACATGTAAGTACTTCAAAGTGGATGGAGTGTTTTGCAACTGTTGCTGTTAATTCCACAGCAACCCTCTGAGATCAGTAGGGTAAAGATTCATAATAGGATGATGCGCTCTAATTGTTGTTACCATGGAAAAGTACAGTCCATATCGAACTGTTGACGTGAGGTAATTTCTATTTAGGGTTACAAGGTTGAATGGCTAATCTTTGAGGAGTCATTATGATCATTGACTTTAAAGTGGGCCTTGGGTTAGGTAAGGTGAAATCAAACTTGGGTTTTGGTTCATGTAGTATTTTAAAATCTTAAGTGACTTCGCTGGTGATAGACAAGCTAACAGTAAGTGCAGCCTAACTTAAAAAATGGACATCGAATTTGAATTTTTTATTTTTGAAAGTGAGTGATCCTCTTCTCACTAGGCATTGTAGCCCTGAGGGTTCATTTCTGGGTGGTGGCTGTACTGGGGCAGTGTGTGGCTTCATGGCCACATTGATCAGTGCTCAGATGGGTGAGCCCCTCTAGTACTTTGCTCAGACTCAGGGTCTCCTGTGTGTTAGGCATGTAGAGCATACTGTCACTTTCTCCTCTACCATCCAATTAAGAGATTTTATTTTTTTAGTTTTTTGTTTTGGGCCACACCTGGTGGTGCTCAAGGGACCATTCATGACACCAGGGATTTGAACCAGATTCAAGGGTGCATGCAAGATAAGTACTTTAACTTCTGTGTTCTCTTTTTTTGGCCCTCATGTAGAAATTTTTAAAACATCATTAATAATAGTAACAACATCAAAAATATGTGTAAACAAAGATTTCCACTTACTGAGCTATTGAGGTTCAGGAAAGATTAATGCAAAATAAGACTCACTTTTGTAAAAGAAGTCACGGTCACGGTCCTCCTGTTGTTCATCAATTTGCTCGAGCGGACCCAGTAACGTCTCCATCATGAGACTTGTTGTTACTGTGTTTGGCATATCGAATACATCACGGGTAGCTTGCCAGGCTCTGCCCTGTGGGCGAGATACTCTCGGTAGCTTGCCGGGCTCTCTGAGAGGGGCGGAGGAATCGAACTCGGGTCGGCCATGTTGGCCGCTTGTAAGGCAAACGCCCTACCCCTGTGCTATCGCTCCAGCCCTTTTGTAAAAAATAGGTTTAAATTTAATAAGTACTAAAATCCAGTACATGAGGACACTTGATTATTAGTAACTTTTGTAGTTGCTATTTGGTGTCATTATAAACTTCAGAAGAGAAGTCTCATTTAAAAAGTGCTACTTAAAGTTCCCTTTCTCTTGAAGGAAGGTTGCCCTGATGAGTGAGTCAGCAATGGAGCAATGTTTCTGGTTTGAATAGGTATCTCCGTACCTGGGGCAGGCTGATAATTTAATTTATGCCTTGTTTTCCTTTTAATAGAAAATTACCGTTGAAGGATTAGAGTGATAGTACAACACAGCAGGTAGGGTGTTTTCCTTGCACACGACTGACCTAGTTCAATCCCTGACACCCCAGATGGTCCCGTGTATCCTGCCAGGAATGATCCCTGAGGAGTGTCTGGTATAGTACACCCCCATCCCCCTCCCCCAAGAAAGATAAAATATTATTGAATTATTTCGTATTGTAAAAACTAGTAAATCAGTGATTATTAAAGAGAAAGAAAAATAAAAACATAAACCAAAATATTAAGGTGACTTAATAAAATCTCTCACTCAAAATATGAACCTTAGTTCTGAAATGAGAAGTTGACAGAAAAATAAAAATAAGCAGTCTGTATTTTCCTATAGGCACTAGTTTATGTTGACTGCCTTGGCATATTTACATACAGTTTGAAGATAATATGTAAATTAAGAAGTGAAGTCTGATTTGTAGATTAAGAAGTGAAGTCTGATTTGTAGAAGTGAAGCCTGATATGTAGATTAGGAAGTGAAGTCTGTGGAGAATACTTAAATTAAAAAATTACACCCTAGGAGCCTTGTGGACAGCAGGTATGAGCCGGGGGAATGGGGGCGACTAAAACCTCATGGGTCGGGGGGCGTTCCGGTCCGTCCTTCACGCCCTACCGAGGTCACAAGTCGCCCCCCGCAAGCGGCTCTCCAGCACGGCCATGGCCCCAGAAGCACAAGGACTTAATGCAGAACCCAGCAGCTTGGAGCAGAAAAGTGAACGGACTATGCGTTGATCCAGCCCATCAAGTCTGCCGGAGGGGAAAGGGTGTTGCCCCATTCGCCCTCTCCTCTCTGGAAAGAAAGATGGCGGCCACATGGGAGCCTTGTGGACAGCAGGTATGAGCCGGGAGTGTGGGGGTGACTAAAACCTCATGGGAAGGGGGGCGTTTCGCTCCGCCCTTCACGCCCTACCGAGGCCACCAGTTGCCCCCCACGAGCGGCTCTCCAGCACGGCCACGACTCCAGAACACAGAAACCAATTTCTTAACTATCTGACTTTCAGTAGAAATACTTCCAGGGTCAATAGGTAAAATAGCAGAAATCCAAAACCAACATTTAATTCTTGAACCCAGCTGTAGAAAGCAAATCACTTCACAATGCTTTTTCAGCATGTCTGATTGGGGGGGGGGGGGGTAAACTCTAAATAATAGTGGTGAGTCTTTTATTGAAACAATCTAATCAAAGCGGATAGAGTGTTAACTAGAATTCATCTGCCTCACAGGGACGGGGAGGGGTGGGGGGTGGGGTTTTATTGGGGTTCTTCATGGGAAAAAATAAGTATTGGTAAAGGGAAATGTGTTTGATATTTGCATGACTGAGACATAAACCTGAAAGCTTTGTAACCTTTCCCACAGTGATTCAATAAAAAAAAAAAAAAAAAAAAACTAAAATAGGAAAAAAAAAAATTACACCCTAGGTTTAATTATAGGAACAGCATCCCACATTGAAATCCTATTTTATAAAATACAAAGCACTTAAACTTGTGATATTTCATTCTGTAGCACAAATCACCAAAGGAAGTAGGCAGGTAGATAAATGTCTTTCAGAGGAAGAATTGAGGCCCAGAAGAGATTGCCCCAGGCACCATCTGCTTTTACCTTTTAGTTGTTGAGAGGATTGGTATGGATTATGGGATGTGAGAGAGATCAAAATATATAGCATATGAAATTCAATATTCATTTAGCTTTAATATCCAGATTTTAAAATTTTAGGAAGCAAATTAAACAACTTTTTTTATTCAAATGTTATACAGTAATCATTTTGCATATGTATAAATTTTTTGTGGTCCTGGGGATTGAACCCAGGACCTCATACTTATAAGGCAAGCTACACTCCTATATAGATATGCTTATTTAAAACTAATGTTGTCATCATTTAGAA